TTTCGGACGGTACTAGCTCTACTGCCAATATAGGAGTATTACATATATGAAAAATTAGTTAAGTCTAACCAATATATTGGGTTTTGACTACCATCATATATCTTTGCAATTTATTTAACCAATTATATTTATTTAAATTAACATTTTTATTGGCACGTAAAAAGAGAAACCTCAAAAAGGAACACAAATGGTGAATTCAATAAAAGTAAACTAGCATGCCAACAAATATTTTGTTTTACAGTTCAAATCAATTTGTTGCATAAAAAGTAAAAAATAATAATACTGGGTATTACGCTTTACAACACATGTACGGTTACTCTCAAAATTGAGCGTCGGGTTTTTTGTTAATATTCGCAATGTTTTACATGGTAATTTTTTTTTTGTTAATTTTGTTTTAAAATATGGCTTATGTTTCAGCAAATCCCATTTAAATCCAAGAATGATAGTGTGTACAAAAATTAAGAAAAATGTGGAAAGTTTCAGCAAATTCGCGAACTTTTTAATACGAATTTCTTAAGAGATTCCAGGTATGCAGTTTTATAGGCCATTAAATTTTAGTATAATAATGTGCAAATTTCAAATCTCTAAAAAATCGCGTTGATATGCGATAGCTTACTTTCTAAACTTACTATACTAAATATGAAAGTAGTATGGTTAATAAAATAAAATTGAAGTTATTTTTGGTTTTGTTCCGTTAGTCGGATTTTTTGCTTCAGCCGGTTGTGAGCTAAGTCAATAGACTTTTTTACACTTTTTTCGAAAGGTAATCGTCCTTCAGATTTAAATACGTCTGAAAAGAATTAAAGATGATTAACTATAGTTAATCAAGTAACTTTGAAAATTAAATAAATACTAATTACCAAATAAGATCTCGTCAACTAATTTCATTTGCGGTAACGATTCCCTCTCCCATCGCCCGTCCCAATTGTAGTGTTGCAAAAACTCATCCGTAAACAACTTACGAATCACGTCGTTTAGGCATCCCGACGGCCCCTTCAATTTATAAATATAGGTTGACTAATTCGAATAATAAATAAAGAGCATTAAATATGAACATATATTAGCGTGAAATAAATTACCAGTGCCTGTCTATATTCGGCGTTACTAACTTTTTCTTCCATTTGAATCGCAGTTTCCTTAGAATTGAGAGGGAGTAGAGAAGAAATTTCGCGAATGTTTTCGTCCTCAGTTTCTCCGGTCATATAACAAACCGACTGCTGAACCTTTTTCAGCATCACTTTACATTCCCTAATAAGTTGGTTTTGGGCCAACATGTCACTCCGTTCCACAACCTATTAAGATAAAGAGATAACTTTAATTAAAAATAAATTATATAATAATTTTAATTAAAAATAAAGAAGACTTTAACTGCTTTATAAATCGAAAATTTGTATGAAAATGTCACTTTATAGAACACTATAAACCTATTTTATTTTTTATGAATAAGGCCATTAATATTTATCTATTTTAATTATTCGGATATAATGTCATGGACAAAACTTATTAATCGGAATTTTTAGAAAATTTTCGAGTATGCAGTTTTGTAGCTTTTTTGTTTTTTTGCAGTTTTGTAGCTTTTTTGTTTTTTGTTTTTTTGCAGTTTTTGTAGCTTTTTTGTAGTTTTGTTTTTGAACTTTCTCTCGACATGTTCCTAAAAGCGTTTTAGCTGACATAGGTATATCTTTATTACCTATTTTAATCAAGGTTTGCAGCAAATCGGTCAGGGCGTTTTGGGGTATATTATTTCTTATGGCCCAAGCTTTTAGTTCACTACATTTATCACTATTAACTGAACGGGAGTCATTTGTATCATTTACGAATTCTTCTAAAGTGTCACTACTAGTTTCGTCCTGAAAATCTAAACTATTCGCCACTTCATCAGAAACAAGTGGGCGCATTTCCTCATCATAAGTTAAGCTATCAAATTGATCACAAGAACATGAGGGAGCACTAGAGGAAATGTTTCCTGGCGCAGAAACAACCGAACGATCAGCAATAATTGATTCACTTGATGGAGTAACGCATTCCGTTTTAATGCCGCGCACTTTCTAAAAAATTCTTTTTTTAAGACTCATATAAGTCTGGAAACTTTTCTTTTTCATTTTAATTCTTTTTATGGTAATTCTCTAGGGTGGGGTAACAACCCCTAAAAAAGGTGCGGAAAAGTCGGGAGGGGTACCAAACGACGCGTTTCGGCCCCCCTAATAACAATCCGGAGGGGGGAGATAATATTATTAACCATTTAAAAGTTATGAACAAAAAACTTTTGTTAAATTTCGTTGTTTTCGATGGGCAATTACACCGACAAAGATTCACTAAATCACCTGTTCACACTTTTTAAACACTATTAAAATATATAATTTAACTTATTTATTAAAGAAACACATAGTTTTATCAACCTAAGATAGATTATTTTGTTATTAAAAAGAAGTTGACATTCTTTGCCAGCTGAAACGCGAGATTCCAAAATAGCTATAGTGCTGCCACTGTATTAGTATTTCGTAATAATTCACTTTTCCTTATGAGATGTGTGCACTGTTCAATGCTTTTCGGTATCTTCTTTCGTTTA